TATATATATATATATTGGACAAGATAAAAGGATATGGAAAATAATCCTAATGTGTGTTTGGATGAAAAATTTTACAAATTCAAAGAATTTTAAATTCTTAGTATTTGAATTGCTTTAATTTTAACTTTATCATTCTTAAAATATTTTATTTGGATAAGTCAATTCAAATTTCTTAAATTTTAAATTATTAGGTTGGATATGATAATTTGATTCCACCATGGTAAAATTGGTTTTAAAAATATATTTATATGTTTAGATTTTTAAATTAAATTTTTAAAAAATAAATATTAGCTAATTTTTAAATATTTAATAATTTTTTAAAATTAATATTAGATAATATTTAATAATTTTAAAAATATTTTTAAATATTCAATAATTAAAAAATGAAGAGATGACAGATTAGATAAAATATATATAAGTGAAATAAAAAGAAAAAAGATATGAGAAATTTCAAATTCTTACTTTTTTGGGAGAATTTGAAATTTTACTATTTCAAGGAATTTTACAAATACTTGAATTTCAAATTCTTTATAAATTCTCCATCCAACCAACGTATTTCACCTCACAGAATTTGAAAATTTTCAAATAAATGAATTACTCCATTTAAATTACCTATCCAAACACACTATAAAGCAATTTGCAAGGAGTTTATTCTCTAAATTTGCGAGGGATTTAATAGCAATTTGCAAGGGTCTTGTTCTCTAAATTTGCAAGACATTTGTGTAGGTTTTGCAAGCAACGTAATCTTATTTGCGAGGGATTAGTGAAAAAACTTTTCCCTCACTAATTTGTGAAGGATTTGCGAGGAATTTGTGAGGGCTATACTTATAACTCATTAGCAAGGGATTTGCGACAAGAAAACTCCCTCGCTAGATGAAAAATTCATTTTTTTAATTTTGCTCATATTTTGGAGAGGGATTTGCAAGGCATTTGCGAGGGCCTAAGTTCCTTGCTAAATAAGCACTAACTTTAGCGAAGGATTTGCGAGGAGATAAAGGTTGGTAGCAAAATGATCACTATTTAGCAAGGGAATTTAGCAAGGGATATAAATCCAAGTTATTTACTCTCTAATTAGCGAGGGATTAGAGAGGAACTGTGTTCCTCGCCAGTCCTTCGCTAATTAGCGAGAAAATAGCTTGGATTGATATCCCTCGCTAATTAGCGAGCAAATAGCTTGGATTTAGGTCCATGATTAGGAGGCTAAATGAGGCTTTTATAGAGGAGGTGTTTCTTAGACCTATACTCAATATAATCATTGAGTATGATCCCTCTTTTTAGTCTTATAGTCTCTATTGTACATACCTTGTATAGTTTGAATTCTTGTACTTTGTATATAGTAGATACTTGTATATATAGGTGTATTTTTGCCTTTGTATTTGTAAGGCACCTTTTCCTTTTCTTATAGGTCACCCTTTTAGGATTTTAGGGTATGTTGTTTGGAAACTTTTACTCCATTTGACCTTGTATTAAGGGTCATTGATTTTCATATTTTTAGTAGTAGAAGTGGAGTGACAAATAGTAAAGTGTGTAGGTAAAGCTAACAATTGGGCCTATAGTGGGTCTAGGCTAATTTTTACATATTGGGCTTGTTTTGCTCCATTTAATCCAAGGAATTGATTTAGCTAGGTCTAACCCTCATTAGGTGAACCTAACTAAACCAATTCCAACATTTTTGGATTCGACTAAGTGAAGGAAAAAAAGATGGGCCGCCTAACTCTTATAGCTTTTCCCACACACTTAGTTAGCTTGTGTTACAAGCTTCTAGCTTGGCTTGCTCCACAAGCTTTGAAGCTTAGCTTGTTCCACAGGCTTTCAAGAAACTAGGATGGTTAGCTTAAGTGTAAGAAGGCTAACCATAGTTTTCCTTGAACTATGGTTAGACTAGCTTTCACCATAAGCCACCTCCTCTCTATATAAGCCTTTTCTTTCATTTTGTAAACACTTTTGATGCATATATTGAGAGCATTCCAAAATTTCCTCTGAGTTTTCTTTCTTCTAAATGTCTTAAACCTCTTTGATTTCAATCCATTTCTCTTATCCTCTTCACATAAGAGTGTTGTGAGATTTGAAGTGGCTAATCTTCTTCCAAGGAGTGGCGCCACTTGACAGTTTTCTTCACCTTCTAAGGTGAACACCTTGGAGCTTCTACCTCCATTGGAAGCTTCAACAAAGTTTAAGGAGAATCAAGGAGTCAAAGATCTAGGGAGGAACTTGAAGAGAAGCCAACAACAATCCAGTTTCCTCTTAAGTTATCCATCACATAGAGAAAACTCACGCAGTGAGAAATACAAAGCTGAAGTTCTACGAAAAAGATTCTCATAGAAAATCTTGTATAGAGTTCTTTGTAGACTACTTGTGCCTAATTTCTATATCATCACGTCTAAAAGAGATGAAGCTATATTTGTAACTCTTATCAATTATATTTGTAAGAGTTGAGCCTGAAAAGGCTTGTTAAAAAAATACTTGATTTGAGCTAGAAGTGGCTTGTGAAAGAATACTTGTATCTTGTCCAAAATAGTGGAACTTAATTTGGTTGGATTGAGAACTTGGACGTAGTCTCTAAGTTAAAGACGAACAAGTATAAAATGCTTGTGGCACTTTGTCTATTTCATTACAGTATTTCATCTGATCAAGTTTTAGTGTTTTGTCTGGTTACTACTTCACTACAAAAGTGTGAGTTTTTGATATACACTATTCAACCCGTTTTAGTGTATATTTTTTTCTCCAACAAAATAGATATTGAATTGATATATATTATTATAGATTATACATAATATAGATTTTATGTAATATAGATATAGATAAATAAAAATAAAATGAGGAAGGATATACTTACTCCTAGATCAAGAGTAAGTCTTGGTAGACTTACTCCACTTAATATATATATAATTCATATTCTACATCAAATCTAAATGATCTAATTGTTAAATTAAAAATTCTTAATTCAAAGATCAAGTATGTAATTTTTTTTTAAAGAAAATGAAAACTATTTGATACTTCATTTCATTAATCCAAATTGACAGATAATCATAAAAGTATTTTATACATTGATTTGAATCTATATAACAAATTATCATATGGTTTTAAACATTTTTTAAACAATATTTACACATTTGATTTATGTATTTAAAACTTTTAATTTAACAGTTGAATTATTAAAATTTGATGTAAAATATGAGTTATTGAGTACAGTAAATCTTGGTAGACTTACTCTTGAAATAAGTGAATCGCTCTTTAAATAAAATATTGAAATCTAAAAAAGATAGAGAATTAAAAAAAATAAAGAGAATATAAAAGTTATATATTACTAGTGTATTACCTCCATGTAATTTTTTTTTTAAAAAAATGAGCATTTAATAATTTGGTCCAAATAATTTTTGGGTAGTTATAATTATAAGCTTAATTTTTGGAAGAAAAAAATGGTAGAAAAAGAAAGAATAATGAGAAGTAATTTTAGGAATGAAATTATCTTAAAAACATGTAAATATCAAATGAGATAATTTTCTTTATTAAAAGTATAGATGTAGATATAGATATAAATTATATATAATATAGATAAATTAAAATATAAAATTGAATCAACCTCTTCAAACTTAATATAATAAATCCGAATACTATTTGCATGAGAGTGTTTCTAAGAGATTCTTCGAGGGGGAGTATTTTTAGAGATTTTTATAACTCTTTATCTAAATTTTTTTTATCATATTTATTTATAAATTAAATTTTAATATTTTAAAATAAATTATCAATAATTAAAAATTATTTCTATATAAATTATTTATTATAAATCTAAAATATCATTTATTATCTTAAATATGAAATATAATTATATGTTTAAAAAGTTTATTTATAAATATTTTTAAATGTAGTTTATATATTTAAATATAATATATTTGTTTATAATTTATTATAAACTTTAATCATATGTAATAAATATTTAACATGTGAAATGTTTGGACTAAAATACTAGTTCTTAAAAATAGAGATAATATTGTATAGAAGAGAGAGAATGTGGAGTGAAATGTCGCGAATGTAATGATCTAAAAAATGTTGACACAATCAAATATTCCTTTTATATATAGGATAGTATATTATAAAAAAGAGGAAAAAAGACATTATATACCTCTACATGTTTATTTATATATAGAAAATAACATAAGTTACTAAAAAGATAGGGGTATAAATTTATTTTTTTTAAAACAAATATATAGATAAATAAATAAAAAAAGATAGATGAGTCTTAAAAAGTGGAAGTAAGATTAAGTGAGTAGTTATTATTGATAGAGTGAATAATTAATTTTTGTTGACATATTTTTTTTAACCATTAAAAGATATAAGTGGAAAAATATTAATATATAATAAAAGGATATAAATATCTCAAAAAAAGTAAAAACTAAATATCTCTTTTATATGTAGTAGGCTTTTGACTCTTCATAATATGAAATCCATAATTTTGGACCTATTATTTTTAAATTCACAATTTTAATCTCTCAAATTTATAAAATCTAGCATGATCATCCATTAATCATTAAAATTGTAATATTAGTCATGATTTAATTAATATTAAGTTAATGACAAAATTATTAATATTTTATAATATTTAGACTAAATTACTAGTTATCATTTTTTTTATCTCATTTTCACTTTATTTTATTATTTTTATGACATAAAAATAAAAAGTGAAAGTGAAATTTGGTTGAAAGATTATTAAATTTTGATTGTCATGACATCTTCTTAATATTATATTATGATTAATGTTACAATTTTATCAATCAATCAATATAAATTTTATAAAATTAAAAGATTAAAATTATAAAATAAAATAAAAAAATTATAATTACATATTTAATATTATAGATATCAAAAAAGTACAATTTAATTTATCTGTATAGATATATAAAAGTGATTTTAATTTTAAAAAAATTAAAATATAGCATACTCGTTCAAGGAGGAGCATGGTATCATGGTATGATCATTTATGCGATCCGTTTCCTCGAAAAACACACTCTCTCCACAACGTTCTGACCCACATATCCAATTCCCATCTTCTAGTACAACTACTTCTGTTTTTTTGTTTCTGTTGTTTTCCGATAAACAACGTATCATGAAACCGATAAACACCATCTTCCTTTGAGCGTATCAAGCCACATTCATCGCTCTCATTATCATCTCCAAAAACCATTCTCACACCAACCCACGTATTCTCCCCCTCGCAGAACCAAAACCAAAGCTAGAAAAGAAAAAAGAAACTTCGCTGTTGTGAGATCCAAATCAAAGATGGTTAGTGCAATAAAAGCTGCCATTGGAGATTTGGTGGTGACTTTCTTGTGGGTCTTCTTTTCTTCCATGTTGGGTTTGGCCACCGACGCCATAACCACAGCGCTTGATCTCAAAGGGGTGTCTTACAATGGCTTTGATTACGCTAGCGCTGTCATCATCACTTCGCTCATCTTTATCCTCGTTACGATCTTCACCTTCGTTGCCAATGCCTTGGGCGGTGCCAGCTTCAACCCCACCGGCAATGCTTCTTTCTACGCCGCTGGGGTTGGCACTGACACCCTCCTCTCAATGGCTCTTCGTTTCCCTGCTCAGGTTTGTTAGTTATGTTCCAAGTTTTTTTGACTGGCTTCTAACTTTCTATGTTGTGGGAAAGGTTTTGAAAAAGGACTCCGCATGTTTAGATATAAGTTCAAAAAGTTTTTGAGAAATTATTCATGAGAAAAAGCTAGTTATTTTTTTTTTTCATCAACATGGTTCAAACAGGGTTCTAAAGTTGATAATCAAATAGTATTTTAATGTTGACAATCAAAGATTAATGTATCTAACAAAATACGAAACATAAAATTCGTTGTTTTTAGTAGAGAAGCTTGTTAATATTTATTGAAATTTAATAAATTTATTGTTAAGTATGATACTGAGATAAAACTCTAATTTTGAATGAAGAAAATCGGATAATATTATAAGTATTGTATATAAGTTTTGTCCTTTAAAAGAACTGCTTGCTACTGCGGTTTCAGTCGCAGTGTCAAGGTTTTGAAGTGTCAGGGTCGTATGAATAGCACTTGTCTACAATTTTCTGCGACATCGACATTGTGGCAAAACTGTTACTGTAATGTAAAACCTTGAGGATATTGCAGAAAAGTGTGGACATATGTGATAAAAACCTTGGCATTGCTGCTGAAATTAATTGTGATAGCGGAATGTTTTAAAAACTTGTTGTGGACAAATATGGGTGATGTGGCTGTATTTGTTGTTGCGTTAACGCTAAAAACTTTGATGTGCTCAAAAAATTGTGGTTGGTAGAACGATTTCATCAATGATTAATATCTTTATGAAAATTTGGTTAATCGCATTTAGTGGAGTCTCCCTTCTCGATCATATTGTTTTCATCCTTAAGACTGGGACTCGAGACTTCTCTTAAAAGGAAAAGGAGACTAAGTCTACTACCACTCATCTTGTTTGTGTTATGGTTCCTTTTGTGCCTAAACAATTTTATTTGAGCATTTTTTAGGATAATTTTAGATTGAGTTGAATTAATGAGTGTTTGTGGTGGTGGTGTTACACAGGCACTGGGTTCAGTGGGTGGTGTTCTAGCGATTATGGAGGTTATGCCACCAAAATACAAGCACTTGATTGGAGGGCCTTCTTTGAAGGTTAGCTTGCATACTGGAGCTATTGCAGAAGGGGTGCTGACGTTTGTGATCACCTTTGTTGTTCTCCTCATCATACTTAGAGGTCCTCGCAGTGAGGCCAAGAAGACTTGGTTGATGGCAATGTCAACTGTGGCTTTGATCACGGTTGGTTCCAGTTACACTGGACCAGCAATGAATCCTGCCTTTGTGAGTTATTACTATACATCTCAATCTCAATTAGTATACAAATTGGTGTTTACTGTTTAATTATGTTTTATTCCTTCTTATGAGTTCAGCCTTCTTCCAGTCCTATTCTTCATTGTCATCATCTCTTTCTCCCATCTTAGCTTCCACTGTGCATTTGTTTTGGTTCGTATAAGGAGATATAAATCTTTTCCACCAGGTCATTTCTTGTAGGGTATAGTAATACCGGTCATGACTTCATACCCAAGTCTTGGTTCCTTGTGCATTTTACTATCATGTTTTGGACAATTTTTCTTGTGCTAATGTCCCACTCCTTTTAGTAGTAATGTAATTTTGTTCCACAATCTCATATTATGTAACTTGATTTCTTTTGTTTAAAGGGTTTGTCTGTAACAAGCTTGAAGGAGTGTTAGAATTAGTTTACCCATTTCCTTGTTATCTATTAGGATCAATTCTTATCATATCATGATTTGTTTTCTTAATTAGTTAAGATTATGAGATTAGTATAAGTAAAGGTTAGTGCTCCAAATTATATGAACAGATCAACACATAATAAATCTCCATTAATATCATTTAGTGTTTTTCATTATCTTTTCTCTCTCTTCCTCCCTCTATACCTGAAATCATTTAATTTCAACAGTTTGTTGCCTTCGCCATTTATTATCATTAATTTTGCTTGTCTTGATTATTTGCATTTCGTGCACCGGTTTTAGTATATATATCATCCGGACTTTGAAGGAAACTTGAATTCTCTTTTTTCTTTCATTCCATTTTCATTAAATTCTGATATACACCTCAGATGGGAAACTGTGTTCGCAATCCTTTGTTTTAGCAAATTTGGGAATTCTTAAATTAGATGAAGTAGTCAAATTGGAAGAATATATTATTACTTTATTTCCCTTTTAGATTTGCTACTTGTTACATACTATATTGCTATGGAGGGTGGAGTATAATAACTTTCAGGAGTGAAAACATGAAATGCTATCATGAGATTATGTCTTTCTCAAAGAGGTGTAGATAAACTAGGATAATTGTGGGTGATGTCCATTTAATCTCTCACTGCATAAACTGTATCTGTTCGTTGCTTTCCCCAGAAAAAAAAAAAAAAGAAGTGAAAATTGAGTTCTTTGAACTTATTTGGAGTTATATTATGTGATGATTAGTTTAAAGTTTAGTGACTTTAGTTCCATTTCTCATTTTATTTTCATGTATATTTGTCTGACCTAATGCACCAGTAACTTTGGCTCAAAGGGGAACTCCTCCTCCATTCTAGTTTGGCTCTTATTATACTTTTTCATCCATTGAAATTTGGTCCTCATGGCAATTTCTCAGCCACCTATGACAACGCAAATTTTATAAACATCCCAAGATTGAATATTCTAAATAACCAATATTCCACCACCCCTCGTGTTTTATCCCATGCATTGTATTGTAGCATATTTCTTTGAAGTTCCAGTACTTTACATGTTTCTAATGTTCAGAATCCTAAATCTTTCTGAACACTTTCTCTTGAGTAAACTACATTGACACTTTCTGAGATTTCGTGAAATTCATACTTCTTGGTTTTTTAACATTTAAATTAACTTCCATTACAGAGGGTCACAGTATAATATTTTCATACAATTAAGGGATTAATATAATGTTTAAGAAGTTTTAGTAGAATATTTTTTAAACAATTAAAAGTATAAGTATAGGAGTAGAAAGTGATTGTGCATGCAGTCTTACCAAACTTCAAGGAGTGTACGTAATTTACAGTGTTTTATTTCTTTGGGTCAGCAACATGTGATATTAATGTAAGTTCCTTCATGTTGAGTCATAGAGGTATAAGAAATCACTCGATGGTTGGTGTTATTTTCAGGCATTTGGTTGGGCATACTTTCAGAACTGGCACAACACATGGGACCAATTCTATGTTTACTGGATTTGCCCCTTCATTGGAGCAATACTGGCTTCATGGCTGTTCCGTATTGTCTTTCCCCCACCAGTGGTAAAGCAGAAGAAAGCCTGAAAAGCCATATACCAATTTTTCCCAATCTTTTTCTGCTTTTATCTTTATATATATATACATATATTGGGCATAGACCCTTTTCTTTTTATCACTTTTTATCGTCTCTTGTTTGGAACAGCTTTTTTTTATGAATAATATAAATTTTAAACATGTTTCACATAATTTTTTCCTTATTTATTATTCATCATATAAGTAAGTCACATCGTGTCTCTGTTAAGCTACTATTTCTTGCGTAATATATAAAATAAAAGAATGCTTGTGTCTAATATTTGGAGGTAAAGGATAAAACTTACATAAAGTTTCGTAAATATTTATGCTGATCTCAAATAAAACTGAGATTATTGTTATCCCACGTATTATTATTATGGTTAAAATTCTTATTTGGTTTTTTATAATATTTTTTTATTTTAATTTAGTCTCATTTTAATTTTTTGTTTTAATTTAGTCCCTTATAATATTTTTTTGTTCCAAATGATTTAAACGGAGTTAACTGTTGGTCAGGTGGATGCCACGTAGATATATACGTGGACGCAAAATTTCATGAATACACCTAGAACCAGAACGGCCCGTTCTGCTTGCACATGTTATGTGTTAATTTTGCAATTGGAACGGGCTGTTCCAAATGTAAATTTAACACACCATGAATGCATCAGAACAGGTCGTTCTGGATTCAGAGTGGCCCGTTCTAGAACACCAACTTCATGCATGCGTTGACCAAAATGTCGCAATGTGGTTCAAAAATTGAAAATAAAAATTCATAACATATCATAAATTCAAATACAGAAACATGGTTCCGAAACTGAAAACAAAAATTCAGAACATAACATAAACTAAAAAAGTTCAAAGAAATTATTAAGAAAGGAAATCATCTAGGTAACGCTGAAGGGAAACCCTAAACCACAAAAATTCAGGTTGTACCTCCTCAAGAACAGGTTGTTATTGTTGGGGTACATCGTCAATGACTTCAAGGGGAAACATCGTTTCGCTTCATCCTTGACTGTATAGTGTCAATTTGGTAGTAAGTGGTTCACTCTAGTTTGACTAATAATGAAATAAAACCTGCTATAATTGTCCTTAGTGATACACTGCATCGTCCTTAATAATACACTATATAGCCCAAATGTTTAGCAATTGAAGTTATCAATCCCCATTGACAATATTACCAAATCTAGTGTTTGAAATGCTTTGTAACTTTGGTCTTTTTCCTTGCACGATTCACAATCGTGAACTATAGTCATTGACTATTCAGGAACCAGAACGGCCTGTTCTAAAATCAGAACGAGTCATTCTGATTACACTATTGGTGTGTAAATTTTGCATCGACCCGTTCCAGGTACAAAATTTACACACCAAGAGTGCAACCAGAACGGGCTGTTCTGGTTTCAGGTGTATTCAAGAAATTTGGCATCCATCTACGTGGCATCTACGTGACATCCACCTGACATCTACGTGGCCAACGGTTAACTCTGTTTATATCATTTGGACGGAAGTACCAAATTGCAATAATTTAAATTATTGAGGACCAAATTGAAACTAAAAAATAAAATGAGACTAAATTAAAACAAAAAAATATTATCAGGAACCAAATAAGGATTTTAACCTATTATTATTAATACCAAAATCCAATGGTGCCGATTCTTCCTCATCTTGCACTCAACCTCAGTCATACTCGTACCCAACCAATGTTTTTCCCATCTCTATTATGATGGCGTGTTTGTGGATTAGATGAATTTTCCTCATTTCATTCAATCTCTTTAACTTTTCCGGTCTGTTTTATTTAAAATTTAAATTCAATTGATTCTAGTATGATCTAAAATAATTTAATTAAATTATATTTTTACTTTTTTTATTTATTTTAAGAGTTCAATTTAATATATTATTTTTAAAATTTTAATTTGATCTTTTAATTTAAAAAAATATTTAATATTATTTTTTCCTTCAAATTGACACTAATATCGTTAATAAACGCGAAAAAATAACATTAAGCATTTTCTTGAAAATTGGAGGACCACATTAAATATTTAAAAAAAAATAGTAGAATTGAACATCTAATTTTCAAACAATACTAAATGTTTCTCTTTTATTAGAGTTTATTAGAGTTATTAGTATCAATTTAAACGAAAGTCTCACATTAAACATTTTTAAAAAAATCAAATGATCAAATTGAATAATTTGAAAATAATAAGACTAAATTAAATTTTAAAAAATAAATTAAAAGTATAATTTCACCGAATAATTTTAATTGGATCGGTTTATTTTAAAATATAAAAAAAGTGATAAAAATGAGTTTTTTATCCATTGCCAGTTAGCGTGCCACATGTTACAACGTGGCTCTAATTTAATTCGGTAAATTAATGTTGAAGTCCGATGCTAAGCAAAATGGGTGCTGTTCGGACCGGTCACACATTTTTATTTTTTATTTTTTGTTAGTTTTTATTTTTTTAAATTCAAGCTAGATAATTATTGTGATAATTATTTATATTGACATATTTATTTTAATATAATAAATAAAACATAAATAATTATTTATTCTATGATCACATTTAGATAAAAAATTAAAAATTGGTATGTAACCATTGTTGTAATTATTTTGATATGAAATATAACAATATATAATATGTTCTCACTTGAGATCGGGTGTATGGACAATCTGCAGGCGAGATCGGTAAGTTTTCTCTGCTTGGTACGTCGGCTGCTCTGAGATGGGGTGGATATCTGCAAAAGAGACTCCAATGTTTAAGTTAGTCTTTGATAGTATGAATGTCTCGTATGTATAGTGCACGTACCTCGATGTGAATTAGGGTTTTCCTTTTGGATAAGGTTGATTTGGGCTCACGGTTGATCGTGGCGCAATAGATGGTGGGCCTTTGTGTTTGCCGATGTCGTGTGGCGCTTGAATACCGAGCTCAATCTCGGTATCCTACGTGGATAGTACACTAGCCCCCCGAGCTTTGAGAACCTCAAGTTGAAGAGCTGATACCGAGTTTGGTGAAAGGTCGCAACCTTTCGTTTCTACCCCTTGGGCTAAGCGCCACGTGTCATGAAGGCGTCGTCTCGTTTCACGAAACAGGGGGCGTCTTGTAATGAAAAGTGGCAGCTTGTAATACTACAAGAAATGTGACTTTTTGTGACTAACAATAGTGATGAAAGTAAAACTTGTCACTAATAATATATTATTAGTGACTAAGTTTTATTTTGTCACTAGTGTTATTTACAATAGTGACAAAAAAAATAAGTTGTCACTATAATATTATTAATAGTGACTAAAATATCTTTGTCACAAAAATTTGACACTAATATCTATAAATTTTGTTTTCTTAACTTAAAATTGTCACTAATACAAATTTTATTATATATATAAATGTTTTTGTCACAAAAAGTTAACTTTGTCACAAATATTTTAATTCATAAGTGATTATTATAAAAATTATGACTTATTTTTAATTACAAGTGACAAATTATTCATCATAAAAAATATGAAGTGTTTCTATGAATATTTATGTTTATTGTATTAGCAAGTTATAAAAATCAAATTAAAGTAGTTAGTTCTATAATATACTCATTTAGTGGCCAATTAACCTTCTAGCCCTCAAAAATTAACTCAACTAATATAAAAATAGAGAAACACAAATTGAATTGACCAAATAGATAAATATTAAAAAAATATATCAATGTCTAAATCATGGTTTGAACATGACCTTTTTCACTTACTATCATCATTGATTTATGTTTTGAATATTTATTTGTCTATATACTTACTTTTATAATTAATAATCTATTGATTTCTATTTAAAATTAATATTATGACATAATTTAAATTATTTTTAATAAATTTAAAACTTTAAATAATAATTTATATATTTTAAAATATTTATTTTATAATTTTTAATGATAATATAATTTATAAAATTATAAATGCTTGTTTATTACATATTAAATCTTATTTATATATAAATACTTATAATCGATAATACACAAAATAAAATATTAGTCATATTTATTTATAAATTAAATTTTAATATTTTAAAAAAATTATTAATAATTAG